GAAGCCCTGTCACTTTCATTACAATCCAGTGAGAGGCTTTGGTGTCTCCTCTCAGGGCACCAGCAGATGCTGGAATCGTTCTGGGAGCAAGTTAGTTGTCAGGGCTTCTATTTACTTCTGGTAGCACTTTCTCCCTTAATTCAATTATGACTTCAAAATGGGGGGAAAAAAGAACAGGGGAGGAAGATAATGAAGCATAAGTCAAATGTGGCAGCTGGCAACTTCCTGATAATTGCACTTTCTCTCGTAGCATTTTACTTCTGTTCCTTCATGCTGCACAGTAGCCTGTGGAAGGAACAGAAACCCACCACAGAAACAACTCCAGAGTGTCCAAGGAAACGATGTTAAATGCAATTTAATGACATTTTTTATGAGAGACAGGGCAGAGGTGAAGTAGCAGTCTAAGTTTGTTCAAGTTATTGTCTTTAACATTGTAAGAAAGCCTAGAAAATTATATATACGTTAATTCAGGGCAAGTAAAATGCTTCTCAGTTTCCTTTCTTTCTTATCTCAATACCCTAAAAAAAAGATTGAAAAAGGTTGAGGAGTATTTATAGTATAGTACTCAAGGTGAAATACTTTCAGAAAATATTGGAAAAGACAAATTCTAATCCAGGTGGGTAGTTCATGTGATGACCTGATTTGGGGGGAAATTAATGTTTATCTACATTAGATCTCTTGGATCTCTTTTCAGTGAAGTTTGTCTTCAGCTGGGTATTTTCCAGGTAAACACAATGGGGAGCTCATCAACTCTTAAAGAAAATCTTACGAACAAAACAATCTGAAATTTAACCATCTGACTAGGCGACTCCACGCATAATGCTATTTGCAGCAGAAACTTAAAGTCTAACTCTTTGGGGTCCCATCCGCGATCTCTTCCCCTTTCCCTTAGAAATGCATCCAAGGAGAAGCTTCAGCAACCCTCCCTTCTTTCATCCCTTCCATTGAAACCACTGGGACCGGAGTAACTGATGCACTGTTGACCTTGAAGATTCTGCCTGCTTCGAGGCACTTAGCTGGGAGTTTCCAGTGACTCATGTCCTAGTGGGAACTGTGGCCTGGATTTAGAAAGAGTATTGGTCTGGGTAGGCTACGGATTCTGAACAGGGTCCTTGTTGGGTTGCAATAAAGTGAAGTAGCCAAGTAGGAAAGTGAAGCCCTGGGCCCCGTTCTTCCTGTGACAGTCCTCGGCTCCTTCTGTTTCCTGTCTCTCAGCTTCGTGCCCTACGGGGGTCCCACTTTTGTGGTAATGCATCTTACATGATGTTTCACACCACCACTGGCTGTGTTTCTCGAATGGTGGATATTTACAATTTCTAATTTCAAAGTAAAACATTTTTTTAGATTAGATTTTGGCCAGGATGTAAGAAAGAGGTAGGGAGGGTGACCTGTAAGAACAAGTAACAGGAATTTGAGCTTTATAGAGCTGGCTTTGCTTTTTGGATTGGGATAGCCAATAGGCCGAGTTTCTGGAGCTGAATTTTTCCATGAAAGCCACCAAATAGAACTTTCCACACTAACGCAATAGGGAATTGTCCGGGGGAGAGCAGAGGGTGCCCTTTGGCAGAAAATGCTCTTGTTGCTGCTTAAGCCTTGGAGTCTTCTCCAGAAGAGTCCCTGTTTTCCCAACAATATGCTGTTCTGCTGGCTTGGCTGTCATTTATGTCTTTGTCAGTATGGCCTTCGGGACCTTGCTTCTCCTTCCAAAGTCCCCTCTTCCGCCCTGCTGTGTGCATCAGCAGTGTCTAGGCGGTGGTGGTAAGTCAACCCTCTGTATCCACGGGTTCCACACCCATGGATTCCACAAACTGTGAATCAAAAATATTCAGGAAAAAAAAAATACAACAATAAGAAATAATACAGTATAACAACTATTGACATAGCATTTACATTGTATTAGGTATTATAAGTACTCTAGAGGTGATTTAAAGTATACTGGAGGGTTGTGTAGGTTATATGCAGATACTTTGCCATTTTACAAAAGGGACGAGCATCTTCAGCTTTTGGTGTCCACGAGATTCCTGGAGCCAATTCCCCAAGGATACTGAGGAATGACCATACTGGTAAATGCTTAACAACTGGCTTTTTAGGGAGAAAAATCCCCATCTAGTAGCATTTGCTAATTTCCGTGGTGTAAATACTTCCACCATGGCTAATTTCAAGCAATCAGCATGGTATCACTAAATGTGGAGCTGGAAGATGCAGTGTAGCACATCGTTGTATAACATGTTCATCATACAGATGTGATCAATGTAAATAACCCCAGAAACATAGAAAATAACAAGAGTAAACTAATGAGGAAGTGATGAGTTGTAAGTACGTATGACCTTTGCTTTAAATATAATTCATTTAATTGTAAATGTATATCATGTTTAATGCTGGCTGTACTTAATTAATAATCAGCTTGCAAAATTCCTGAAAGATTAACAACCAGAATGCAAGCCAGCTCTAATACTCCACTAGGTCTTGGGTTGAAGAAAGATGGAGAAAGAGGCGAACCAAAAGGTTATATTGAGTATGAAAGCAGCAAAAGGCCTCTGTACCATTCACACTTCATGACTTAGTCCTCGTGAGCCTTAGGTCCATATGTTCATAGAAATGACATGGCTGCTGTTGGTCAGAAGCCATACGTGCCGGGTCCCAGGCCCAGCTCTGCCATTTGCTGTCTGCATGACCTTAGGTAAGCTGGCTAACTTCTCTTCACTTACATTTCCCACCCGTAACATGAGTACATTAAAGAGCACCTGCTTGCTACGGTTGTTATGGGGATTACATGAGATACTTTATTCAAAGTACATAGCCTACTGGATCATGTGGAAAAGCCTCAACAAGTGGTAGCCGTGAGTACTACTGTGATTACTGTGCTGATCTCTTCCTACAATGTCCACAGTAGCCACAGCCAGTGATGGGGTAAACCGGGTACAGAGTCATGCAGATACCGATCGTGAAAGACAAGCTTCGTGTGGCCTGACCTCCATTTCAGCGTCAACCATGTATGTAGGCTCAGCCTCAAGGGGAGGAATGCTCCTGTCTCCACACCTCCTGAAAAAACCCTCTGGCAGATGCCTGAAGTTCAAATTCTGGTAACTCATTTTTCACTGTGAAGTGCTGCTGTCTCTCTAGGCCTTCTTTTAAAAAGCAATTACTCTTTAGAGAGTGAGTCTAACTCTAGCCCCTTGGTGTGCATGAGGCAACCTGATCCCAGGGTTCTACACAGGGACTTCTGGGACTCTGAGATGAGCCATGGGTGTGGGCAAAGGGATTCTGAAAGGCAATGGTGCACTGAAGCCCCCGCCTGCCCCCCACCCACTTCCTGGCCCCCTGCTTCCAGGTGGACTAGTGCTTTTTTTAAAAAAAAATCTAAAGAGGTAGGGTTTCACTGTGTCACCTAGACTGCAGTTACAGGTGGTGCAATCACAGCTTACCATGACCTCCACCTCCTGGGCTCGAGCCATCCTCCTGCCTTGGCCTCTGGAGTAGTTAGGACTACAGGCTTGTGTCACCATACCCAGCTGATTTTTAATTTTTTTGTAGAAATGAAGTCTCGCTATATTGCCCAGGCTGGTCTCAAACTCCTGAGCTCAAGCAATCCTCCTACCTCATCCTTCCCAAATGCTGGGATTATGGACATGAGCCACTGTGCCCAGCCTAGTTCTTAAAGCAGAGACGCTTCTAAAGGCAAATCCACTCTAGTCTTTCTCTCCCTGCTCCCTCAACTAACCCAGGACCGAGACTCAGTTGATTCTCAGGTCCTCAGTCCACTGGTGGGCTGCCAAGACTGCTGAGTATCTCGGGAGAGTCTTACTTCAAGCACACCAAGTGTGCAAGCGGGTGATCTGGGTTTTGGTTGTGGTCTAACCACTTGATGTGTGACCTTGAAAAGATTTAATGTCTCAGAACCTCTATTTTTTTAGTTTATTGAGGATACTAATGAGGATTAACCTGAGACTCACATGAAAGAGCCCTTCAGGAACGATGAGGTTCAAATACACACAGTTGTTGCCATTTTCTATTCCCAATTCTTGGTTGTTCGTTTGCTCCTTTTTCTCCAGTTCTTCACACCTGGATACAGAAAGGCCTTTTGGGGGAGCACCATAGATGGAAGATAATAATACATTTCCCATGCTTTGTCCTAAAGGTTTCTAGGGACCAACATAAAAACTCCCACCTGGGATCACTTATTCATAATACAGTCTTGTGTACAGTGAAAATAACCTGAAGTCAGTCCCAGTGTGGCTCAGGTAACTTGGCACAACCAGAAGGCAGGGGTGATGTCTGCAGGAGCCCTGAGGTCCTGTGAATGTTAGTTATGCTCTTTGTGAGGTTTTGTTTGTTGATCTGGAGCACCCGTGATGCTACACAAATGCTTTCAAAGTGGTTGAGTCCCCAAAACCAGGAGAGGACCTGTGGCTTCTAAAGGCATCAGACTTGGAGCCAAGTGTGTCTTAGGTTCTGGGAAGGGGGTTGGGGATACAGTGAGGAGCTAAGACAGCCAGTCTCTCCTAGCGCAGACCCACCAACCTCAGGTGTTCTTGGGCATCTGCGTGATTGGAGTGTGGGTGGAGGCAGGTGGCTGGAACCCTGGCAGGGCGTCCGAGAGCTCAAAGAACAAGCAGGCCCCCACCCTTTCCTTGAGACTGCAGCGTCTGACAGTTGCCTCCATCTGTGGTGACATTTCTGCCCCTCTCAGGGCTCTGATGGAATGCAGTCTCCGCCCCAGTGGCCCAGCGATTACTGTGTGACCAGAGCGGCCTCTGTTATTTAACCTTCCATCAACTGGCACCTCCCTTCTGGCGTGTGGGCTGCAGGTTGGCCACAAAAGTGGCTGGAGAATGGACCCAGTTGTTGGGGGGAGGGTGTTGTGTTTCAGGATCTATTATTTTTGGTGAAGAAAAGATTGCGATGGCCAGCCAGGGCAATCTGCCTGAAACTAAATAAGTCATTTGGAGGCCCGCCAGGACCCAGCCGAGGAGGTGAAGTGCAGGAAAGGGCGCAGAGAGTGGGCTCTCATGAGGATGCGCTGGGGATGGGGTGCCTGGCTCCTGCAGTGTCTGGAGAGCAGCCAGAAGAAGGGATGAATGTGACAAAAAGGAGCTAGAAGAGGTCCTCCTGGGAAGGCTTAAAGGTGTCCACCTTAGAACACAAAAGACAAAGTTGACTAAACATGCTGACTTTCTTCAGAGACACGAGACACGTCTGCAGGAAGATGTTGGTGAATTAATTGGTCTAACAACCAGGTAAGTGAGAGCAAGCTGTGCGGAGGCCGTATGGATTTCTGTCACTGTTTCATTTACACTGAAACAGGGTGCCGAATACACACGGGAGCCGTGGTCACGGCTGTGTACTGAATGGGACCGTCGGAGCGTTTTAGAAAGTAAGGGAAGGAAGGAGAGCCTCCCACGTCTGTAAGCGACGGCCAGCCCGCCAGGTCAGACTTCCTGGGTGCCGCCCTCTGAGTTCTTTGCCTTTGATGCTGAGTCCTGGTTCTGCTTTTTGCATGATGTGAAAGAACAGCACCCTAGGGAGGGACTGATGGGTTTTATAACTTGATAATGAAAATAATGAAACTCTCTGAGGAGGGAGTGCCCTCCCAGAGACGGGAGATGAATTTTATATTCTCTTTTCCCTGTTGCTTTTCCTCCCCATGCCCCATCGTGCCTATTCTTTTCTGCTGCTTGCTCAACAGAAGGCAAAGGGGTTTTTAAGAAAGCACCAAAAATCTGAGGACTTTGATTCTAGAGCAGGAAAAGATGGCACAGCCTGGGAACAAGGCGACGAGAGCCCATCACAGGAAGGTGGGCCTCTGACCACTCTCCTGAGCCCCAGTGTCAACCTGAGCGCTCAGCACAGGATGATGCCTCTAGTCCAGCCTCCAGCCATGTGGAGGAGACACCATCTCCTCATGCCTGGGTAACCCAGCTTTGACCTTGAGGTTCCTGGGAAGGTGTCAGAGTCGTGTCTGGCTGGTCTGAAATGTGATCCATCTCTGAGCAGGGCCCCTTCCCCAACCTGCTGACTACACACGTTCAGATTTAGCTTGCTCTGAAATAGACTGAAAAGAGAAACGAGAAATGATTCTCAAGCTAAGCCTCTCAACCCCAGCAGTCTGCTTCATGGTGTTTTGATCCTTTAGAAAGCAGCAGAGAAAGGAATTGGAGGTGACAGGAAAAAAAAAACTATTCTGACTAAATCCTAGAAACCTTCTATGAAACAACACCAACAATACAGGACAAACGCCACACCAAGATCTTGAATTACAGGATGTTTACATAATACAATGCCCATGGCAGACAAAGACTAAATCCCATAAAGTACCTGAGACCCGCCCCCCCGCAAAAAAAATTAAATTTAAAAAAAGAAAGGAAGGAGAAGAATAAAAAGGAGTCTGGAGTCCCGGCACGGCACTGGGAGGTCCGAGGCTTTTCCTAGGGAGGCTCCGTGGGAACATCCAGGGCTCCCGGCCTCACATTTCAGCTTCTGAGGGGCGGACCTCCGTCGCGGTGATGGCAATCCCGATGGCAAGGCTGCCGTTGTCAGAGAAGAGCTGTGCCAGCGAGGTGTTGAGGACGAGGCAGTCCCCGTCAGTAATCACCGAGTCCACGCACTCGAGGACAGACCGGGGCGTGGCCTCCCACTTCAGACGCCGATGGTTTCTGTTGAGCTCCAGGCGATAGGTGAAGCAGTCGGCCTGGGTGGGGGTCCCAATCAGCATCATGGTGGCAAAGAACTGGGGGTGCCCTTCATGCCTCTCCTGTTTCCTCAGCACCAACAGAAAGTGGTGGCCGAGGCAGGAGTGCATGATGATCCAATCAGCCGGCGCGGGCAGGTGCATGTCCGTGGCCAGGAAGACGATCTCAGCTCCCTGGAGGATGTCAACGCTGTGGATCTGCCGCAGGTGGGGCACCACCACCTCCAGGCAGCCTTCCCACTGGCAGGAGAACAAGGGGCACAGGCACAGGCAGGGCGTCACCGGGGCAGTGTGCAGCCCCGCCTCCTGGTGGTGGAGGTGGTGGGGGTGGGCATGGTGGCGGAGGTGGTGGTGGTGGCGGTGGTGGCAGTGGTGGTGGGTGAGATGGTGAGGGTGGAAGCTGCCTTGCTCTGGAGCGCTCTGAGTGACTGCGCGCCGACTGGACACATACTGTAAGGAAAGAGAAGAATGTCAGTCGGAGAATGAGGTCTGTCTCTCCCTGGCTGCCACCACTCTGATGTTCAACGTGTTAAAAGCAGACTCTCCAGTGCAGGCTGAGAAAGGGTCATTTCTTAAAAAAAAAAAAAAAAAAAAAAAAAAAAAAAAAAAAAAAAAAAAAAACCCAAAACAAGGGACAGAGTGGGCACCTTGGGTTGTGGAGTGTTGAGATTCTGAAATCTCAGTCCAAGAAAATGCAGTATTTATGCCTTTCTGGTTCTTTAATAAGATCCACAAGCAAATAGGCAATTTCCCCCTGAAGTAACATGCAGTGGGATGGTCATCAATCATAAAGAACAAAGACAGCTGTGGGTTTTGTGTGTGTGTGTGTGTTGGGGGGGGGGTTGTTTGTTTTGCTTTTTTGATATTGTTGATATTTTTTGTGCAGGCAATGGAGGTCGATAGATTTTTTTTTCTATTTTGTCATAGTTATTAATTTTAGAACAAAGTTTACATGGTGCCCATTTTTCCTTCCAGTGTAGCCTGGGGCTATCCTGTCTTCAGTGCCCTCCTCCTGTGTCCTAAGGCGTCTGGTGGGATACGGAGCTGACAGTGTGCAGTGAGACCACAGTCCCTAAGGAGAGAGCCCCTACTGTGACTCCTGAGACTTCACCACACCAGGCAAATATCTACCCCATTTCTAGCTCTCTGCCCCAGAGCAGCTTCCCAGGGCCTCACCACCAGGCAGCCTCTACCTGGAGCATCTCCCTACCTTCTGTTCCTCATGGTGATATGCCCACAAGTGCCCCCCAAAACACCAAGAGCTGCGAGGACACCTTCTGATCAGGTGTCTGTGGACATTTATTGAGCATCTGCTGTGGCCTGGTCCTTGCAGGCAGCTGGGATACAGCTGTGAGTACAATAGACACCGTGTCTCTTGGTGTGGGTGGCACAGATATTAATACACTTATAATTAATTACAGTTTTGACAGAGGTCCTCCACGTGACATGAAGACTGTGATTCTTGTTTTTCAGCTTAAGAAACAGGCTTCTGTAATATGACAGAGGTTGCAAAACCGGTAAGTGAAAGACGGATTCATTTTCACCGCCCCCCCCCCACACTGCCACCCCCGACTCTGAACACAGGAGCACAGCCCCATCCAGTGATGCCTGCCTTCAGCTCCCTTCTCCGTTTCCCGAGTCCTTCTTTTCCATAATTAGCCTGCATGAACTGGGTTGTGTACGGGAAGCTCACCCTGCAACCATTTTCTAGGCTGAACTCAGGTAGGGAGTGTCCCTTCTGCCCTAGCTCTCCAAATACTTTCTGAACTTGAGATGCCTTTGGGCACTTGCCTCCTCGCCCTGCTTCAGTTTATTCCCAAAGTACAGAGGGTAGTGGTGAAGGTCACTTGCCACTGTTGCTGCCAGAGTTTCTGTCTACCCTGGCTCCCTGGGGCTAATAGTGAGCCAGCTAGCTTCCTTTCTTTAGGGCATTCAGGACACACACATACAAATATGCACAATCATGCACGCAATACACATGCATGCACACACACATGCTCATGACACGTGCACACACACACCACACACAGTGCATGGGGATGGTCACCCTAGTGACAGAGGTGGCCTGGAGGAGGGAGGGGCCAGATTGGCTCTCCTCTGCCGTTGTTAGTTCCATTCTCTAGTTTCTGCATTCTCCCCCAAGAAGCGTGATCTACAGGGGCTCTTCCAGTAGCGCCCTTCCGGCCCCTGGATGGCAGCTGCTTGGCAGTCATGCTGTCCTCCATCCTGCAACCCCACCTGGTCCCCCTTTCCCAAGGGAGACAGTGGATCCTCAGCTATGCAGGAACAAGCTGTGTTCCAGAATCCCGCTGGTGATGAGTCTGACTTACCAAGTGATACGCACTATGGAAGGAGGTATGTTTTGAAGATTTAATTTAATTTTTCACAGAAAAGATCAATTTCCTTATTAAAAAGTGAAATTAAATCTGGCTCTGTCCTCACCTGCCTGCTGGTGGCATGGACCATTTAGTCATTGGGTTGGGGGGCTTCTCCCCTCTGCTGGGATGATGCAGGAAGCTGGGGGCCCACACCTTTCATCAGCCAGACTCAGGATCCTCCCATGGTCCTTCCACCATCTGCAGGCCTGGTAGGCAGGGAACCTTGTAGGAGATCGCTCAGGGTGGTGGGAAAAATTATAGGAAAGATGCAAACCTCTCAGCCTTCCAAGAAGGTTTACGTCTTTCCTATAATTTTCCCACCTCTCTGACCAATCTCCTACACAACTTCTTCTCCTGTGCTCAAGAGGACCTCTTCCAGTCTCTGAGAAGGTCCCTCTCTCCCAGTCTTTACAAGAAACAAGAGAGAAACATTTTATGTTTGTCTTCTAGATGAAGATGGACATATTTGCATGAAGACTTGGATATATTTGCATGCAGGTGCAGATATCTCCATTCACTCATATTCACTCATCTGCCTGACCTAGTACCACTTTCAAAGGGAGCCAAACCTTGCTGAGTGCATCTGCTGGGCTCCCTTTGCTGGTAAATGAACACAGACACAGAGAGAGTGTGAGTCCCTTGCCCAAGTCACACAGCTCATAAGGGCTGCAGCTGGGAATGGAGTCCAGATTGGTTAATGGTGACAGATCGTACACCGGGAAGATCACAGGCTGGAGGTCGAACAACTCGTCTGTTGCACTGTTTACATGGACAGCAGCCTTAAGTCAGTTCTCTCATTGGCAAAATATTTATCTCAAGGGCATGTCAGGAGATCAAATGAGAGAATTCCTGTAAAACAGCATTACAAACTTTATCAAGTGTTTCCTCGAGAGGGCATTTCCATTTAGATGTGGTTTTGGGTGAAGACTTGGCAGCCTTCCACTTCAGTCTGTGCCTGCCTGTCTCCATTCTGATCAACTCACTTTCACACACAAGCAGCAATCTGGGCTGAGTGCAGGCCACCAGAAAATGGAGAAAACCCTAACCTCACACTTCGCCTGGGGCTGCCATTCCCAGTGCTGACCTGTGAGAACAGACAAAATGTCCTATCCCCATTTAGAAATGGCCTCTGGGATTTCCCATATTCTTTCCCATTTCTCCATATTCTTCCCTGGATCCATTTTCCATCTTCTCTGTCCTGAACTGTGCAGCTCATGTCAGAGATGGGAAGTGAAATTAGCAGGGAGTGGGAAGAAATACCTGGGTCTCCCTCTCTCCAGTCTCTGACAGTGCCTTGCATTGGTTAAACCCAAGCAGAAATTTACCAGCAACGGGAGCCCAGCAAATGCACTCAGCAAGGTTTGGCTCCCTTTGAAAGTGGTACTGGGTCAGGCAGATGAGTGAATGGAGATATTTGCACCTGCATGCAAATATATACACTCCTCGTATGTCATGCTGCTGTTTTGATGGGGCTTATGGTAGGTGGAGAGAAAGAGAGATGCCCATAATTAAGCTGTTCAGCATATACGTACATACCACCTATCATGGGTGAGGGGCTGCAAATACTGAACAGAATTAGCTCCTTGTTCCTGCCTCACCAGCTCACTTTGATTGTGGGTGTTTTATAAAATAGTTCAAAAATGCAGGGTGCACCAGGGTCTCTGAGAGCACCAAGTCGGGGAGGTAGCTCTTCTAGCCAGTGTGAGGTGACATGTAAACTGATTGAAGCGTAAAGGGTGAATTCTCGAGCAGAACAGGCAAAAGGCTTGCCGACAGGGAGAACAGCAGGTTTGAAGGAGCTGGGTATGAAAGAACATGGATGTTCAAGATTTGACAAGAAGTCCCAAGTGGCTGACAGGGAATCTGGTGGAGATGGAGAGATGTTGGACCATATTGCCCAGGCCTTGTAAGCCACGCTGGGGCTCTGAGGTGGCACCCAGTGCACAGTGCATATTAGCAGGAACATCCAAGAGACCCAGCTGTGTGCTTTAGGGACCCCCTGTGGGCAGCACGATGCCCTCCCTGCCCAGCAGCAGAACCTGCTGTAAGCTGGTGATCAGAATGGGGCCAGAGCAAGAATCAACCCTTGTCCAACCAGCGGACCGCAGCAACGGTCATTCCCCCTAGACTCTCCCGATGCTTCCTTGTGGCTTCATCGTCCCCTGGCTGTTTTGTTTTTTAATTGCTGCCGTGTTACAAAGCAGTCAAGGGTATAATCTGAAGAGCCTGAAGTGAATAACTATGCAAATAGAGCGGGACATGATATACTCACTGAGACCTGTGCACTTGCTGTCACCCCAGGAAGGTGCTGAGAATAAACGCAACCTTATTTTTTTTTTTTTTACTTCTTCCTGCTCCATCTTCTGATGCAAAATATGTTTCATTTAAACGATCCTTGGGTGAGTGAGGTCACAGGGCTGCTGGCAGGGAGAAGGGATTCTTTTAATTGGCAAAATGCTAATCGTTTCAGAAAATGAATTCCAATCTTCCCATCTAATACAGTGGATGTGTGAGTAATTACTTTCCTTCACTAAACTGTTAATGCAACATTAGTGATTACACTAATTAAAACTAATGAACTCTTACAGACTGATAAACCCCTCAGTCAGTCAGTGGATGCCTTCCTTCCAGTGGCTGTGTTTAACTCCCCATTTGGAAGAGAGATCTTGAATTAACCTTTAGAATAATGCACAAAATTGGGTTTAGCAATGTTAGGCTTTATAGGTTGGGCATAATGCTTTCTCTAAGCATTAGTGAGGCCATTTCCACTGAGGGTATAATTGAATTTAAAAACACATTCCTTAATTTGATCAGCCACACTCCCATGGTTGGTAATGGCCCTCCAAATCCTGGCTTCTGAAGGGGAAACCTGGCTCTAGAAATACATGACTCTTTCTCTGGCCTCTGCTCCCTGTGGTCAGCAAGCCCACTGAGGATTAGAGGAATGCTTTTCCTTTCCACTTGCTTACAGGAACACCATTATGCATTTTAGCTGAAAGAGGATTTTGTGCCCAAGTTTGCATGAAAGGCGCTTGCTTTGAGTTTGCTCACGACCTTATTTGTGAATATTAA